CAGTTTGGATCTTCCGAAAGCTATTTGGATTAGCTACCGACACATAGTCATCAACTAGTGTGCGATGTTTGGCGGCCACATTTGATAACGGTATATGCGCACCTGACGGTAACATATCTTCATCGATTGGTGTACGGGATGCATTCTTTTTCGATTTACTCGACGAAGGTAAAGCTGGAAAGTCTAATGTATTGGACTTCTTTGCAACAGCGCCACTATTGTGTGCTCCACTAGACGTTGGTCTATTGGATACATGAAGTACCATGGAGCCACTGGGGCCCGTATTTCCTCCGCCGCTACCTGTAGTACGACTAACAGCGCCGGTAGATACCGCAGGTGCTTTACGCAATACCGTGGATATAGGTGGTGCAGATTGATGAGACTGTGTGCTACTTTCTAAAAAAAAAATTATTCCAAAATGGTTATGTGGCTCAAAAAATGTCAACATATGCAGAAATTTACCTCCTCCACCACCGGCTCCTAAAGCTGGGAAGTTTTCTTTCGTACGAGCTAGACCGGAAGTAGCACCTCGTAGGCGTACAAACGGTGCTGGTACCAAGGACACACTGGGTCCTCCACTGCTTCCACCCAACAAAGGAAAATCTTCCTCATTACTCCTATCTATAGTTATTGAGCGCTGATGGGCGCCCTGAGAAGAAAAGGCCTGTGTAGCATCGGGGAAATTGTCCTCGGGGCTAGTTTGGAAGGTCAAAGAACAATTTACAAAATTTTAGAAAGCATTTACAAAGTATGAAATATTAAAATAGCCTTTTTTTAATACTTACACACGCGAACGAACATTGGTAAGTCCACCATCAGCAAGGCCGGGACGTGCTGGCCGACCCAGTGTTATTTCTAATTGCACTGTGCGTGTTTTCTTGGACTCCTGTTTATTCAAATTTCTGCCATGAGCACTTGCGTAGTGAGCCTTATAATCAATTTCAGTGCGAAATGCGCCAATAAACTGTTCAGTAGCACACCGCCCTTCTTCACAAAGAAAGTGCCGTTCACGGAAATGATTCGCTAAAGCATCATAGTCCCTTCAGAACACAAGAAAAAAATACGTTAATTCGCTAACTTTTCAAATATTTAAGTTTGTAATACCTATAGAAATCATTGGACTCATCATCACAAAAGTGGCAAAAGTAATGATCACGACGTTTATGTCGAAATAGCTCATCGCGGTCTAAGTAACGTTTCTTACAAAATTCACATAGCGGATGCCCCCGATGGGAGCGATTATCACGATCTCCCTTGGTGCGGTGTAAGCCAAGTTCCGCTTGTGTGTAGCAGCGACGTTCAAAGGTAAATATCTTCAAATGTTCAATACAAAGATCACAGTAATGCAAATCGTGTTCTTTACGCACATGATATTCAAGATCACTAAATCTCCGAAAGGGTGGCACATTACATCTGCAAAAAAAGGATAAGTTCTTAGCGTTAGGTCTCAAAAATCAAAATGAAGTACTAACTTAGGGCACGGATGGTCTAGTAAATTGAAGAAGGCCTGTTGGATCTTCGCTGAATAGAAACCGATTTTATACTTTTTGCTGTAGTAGCCGGAACGATTCTTAGCTTCAAGTTCCCGGTAGGGCAGCTTATCGTGCGCAAAAATTACCTGTGTTTAGGCAAAAATATACCGAAATTTGGATTGTAGTATCTAAGGCTATTATATACAAAACACTATCAATCTTTTGTACTTACTTTGGACAGCACTTGCCGACAAATGGGGCACTCATTCTGCTCGCAAAGTACGCGCAAGCGGGTGGAGCACTCAAAACAGATCGGATGATCACATTCGCCAATAGAATAGATATCCACTTCTTTGCAACAAAGTACGCATGCATCATGTTCGTTATCCTCAGTTGAAGACTGCTTTCTTGCGGCTGCTTCATGGGAAGATTTGTCAATTTCGCTCATTTTGGACAGTTGTAATGCAACAGATGCTTGTTTGGAACGAGGGAAGGTATGCAAAATACAATTTATGGGATCTTATGCGTTGGCAGTGAGAACCCTCCAAGAGTTTTACGTTTCTTTATAAATTCGCGTTCCCTTCTTACTATTTGCAAGGAAAAATAAAAAGCGCCCTGCCTAAAATCTTTAACTGATAGCAGAAGTATTATTTGCGATTAAAATTGGTATAAAATACGCAACAAAAACGCGACACGAAAAAGTTTTTAACTTTTGTAGTATGCGAAGTGACAGCGTGGATGACAGCTGGCATTGAAAAAAAGTCATGTCAATTGAAAAACCACAGTATAGACAGTAGCCAACCTTTTTGGATTGTTGTTGTAGCTATATTCACCCTTGAGGAAGGCACTGGGTTGTGTGCTGCTATTTAATGACCCCCTCAAGCTTTTCTTAGATTTCAGGGTTGTGTACTGCATTATTATTATATAAATAATATTAAGCAATTGACAAATGGTTACTCTATAAAAGAAAATTATAAATGGTCTTGAAAAACCAAACCAAAGAACGTAAATGTAGTAAAGAGGTAGTTTATAAAGCTGAAATTAGTCGAGAGCGCAGAACGTATACTTAAACGCAGTCTGTATACGCAGAATTTTGTCGATTACTGGAGCCCTCAGTGTTGTTTACTACACTGTTGCCACTCTTCAATGCCTTTTCATTAACTTACCCTTTCAACTACAATTTTTCGTGCTATAATAGATTGTAGCTAAATATATATAAACTACTTAGTTTTCAACAAAAACCTTATTAAATAGTAAATTTCCAATATTTTAAACATATTTTGAATAGGAACTTATAACTTTCTTACCATCTGTAAAACTGACGAAGTGGCAACCATCTAAAGAAGGAGAAATCAGCTGACACGGAAAAATCTAAATTCCGCAGATTTCTGCGCTACGGGCTACAACTACAGAAAAACTCTGCGGTGTTGAGTTTTCATTTACATGGCGCTTTGGTAAGACAGATCGTGTCAGCTGACTCGGTTTTACGTACCGGTAGGTTTACGTTCTTGACTAATTTCAGCTTTAAGGTCTTGCCTAGCGCATGTATTTAATTTACTTATATATGTATAAAATTATAAAATAAAGTAAATCTATGCACATGCGAATGCAAATTGTTAAATGCCGTCTGCAAATAAACAAAAAGAGCTGCGGCCATGTTTTTTTTTAATTTCGTTTTATTATTTCTATCATCGATCACTTTTCCTCAACGTTCTTTATCGCCGCGAATTCATTTACGAAAGTGGATGTTAAAACGGACGCGAACTCCTCATCTCAACCTTTCAGACCTCACTCGCTGACTTTAGCGAGTTGTCGCTTCTTATACATTTACGTTTGGTTGCGTTCGTGTATCTGTTAATGGTTCAAAGTTAACCAGGAGGGAGATTCTGTAACCAGTTAGCGACAATTTTCGGATCGCTATCGCACTTTTTGACGCATGATATAAATGTTTTTGCATCAAAAAGGGGGTTAGCGATTCGAAAATTGTCGTTACAGAATCTCTCCCCAGGGCTCGAATCGAAAAATCCCAAAAAACGATACGAAAGAAAATTACGCGATACGTCAGGCAGTATAAACTAAATGGGACAAAGAGTACGTTCACGTATGTCATAATCCGAAAAATGTGTTTTTACGTGACGAGTAGTATGGTATCGTATGTGACGATTCGAACCCGGAATTTTTTTCAGGGTTTTTGCGTTCTCGAACACCACCTTGTATAAATTCACCTTGAATTGTGGTATGAAGCGCCGACCACAGTTTTAAAGTTTATAGCTTAGTATCCAGCTCTTAAGAAAAGCAAAAGCTCCATATAAAATGACGTACAAGAAATGGCTAAGAAATTTTCTTGAGTCAAATTTCCTTAAGGCAGTACGCAGTTCTTCAGAAATTTAGTACGCTTTCTACTATGGTTTTCTAAAGTTTTTTGTGAAAAAAGAGCACAAGGCAACCCAGGTTTGCAACAGAAATATATGCCCGTTCCATTATTTCTTGAGGAAAGAGTGAGGCAACAGGCTGTGAGGTATAAAAAATGTCAAAATTCCTTGGACACACACGCGAAATAATGGCAATTTTTTCTTGACCGTTTTCTTAAGAGCTGGATACTAAGCTTAAAAATTAAACGAACGCACCAAGGTACATTGAACAGGTAGTATCAGTAGAGCAGCTGATTTGATTTATTTTCAAATTATTTGGTCTCGAAAATGTCAAATATTTTTAATTTTTTCTCACGAAAATTATAAGTTGTTAAAATCCATTTGCTTGTGAAACCTTTTTCCATACAAAACAAGCGATTGAATAGCAGCTTTTGGAACGTTCGCCCAACTCGGCAGCACGACCGCTGATTACTGGGCCTTGCAAAGGATGGATCAATGCTTCGAGAAGCAAACAAATTTACTAGGAAAGAAAGTTGCATCAATTTTTATTTTTTCCAATTTCAATTTTTTATTTTTTATAATTTTTTGTATTTCACATGGCACGCTTTGATTTAGAAGAAAAAATTCAGAACAGTGGTTGACACTTTCGATACCAGAAGCAACAACAAAATACACGCAAATGTTGTTTTTGCTCTACTGATACTACCTGTTTAATATGCCTTGGAACGCACCTATTTTGTGGAAAACATAAGGGCTGCTTATACGTAGCACCTTAATTATTGCACGTAAATTCCAACGACTTATAAAATATGAATAGAACAAAATGAAAATAACCAGTACTATAACACCTATAAATATCTGAAATAACAATGAATAATTCATATAATTCAACCTTTAAATATTCAGCCCTATCGCCAATTTCATGTGAATAAATTGTTCCCATAATTTAACATGCAAAACAAAAACAAATTGGGAAAAATTGTTTTTGTTTTGCTTTATAATTTTTGGGAATATTTGTTCACGTGAAATTCGCAATAGGGCCTATTATTAAATAATAAGTTATTTTAATTCAGCAGCGTCCAACTATGGTGAATTTCTACTTAGAATTTGCCGATGACGACAACCCAATACCGCGGTTGCGCCAACTTTATTGACGGCATTGTAGTTCCAATTAGATTTGAACGCCGTGCTTTTTGACTGGCCGAATTAAACTGCAATGCCAAGTTGTTCAGCGACATTCACAAAATTTTTGCTAATCGGGCGAAGTGCGCACGTGTTGGGGCGATTAACGTTGACGTCGGCGTCTCTAAAATTTGCAGCTATAGAAAATACAAATCGTTTATACAATTTTCAAAAGCGTTTGATTTCGCAATCAGCGAAATACCTGCAAATTTCGAACGCGAATATTAGAAAGCAACTGAAAGGCTATAAGATGACTGAGTACACAATTGTGGAGAAGGGGGCACCCAACTCGACAAACTACAGCATTTACCTGAGTAAGTGCATATGGGACATGTGTACATACATAAGTATGTAGAAAACGTTGCATATCAATCAACTTATTGCAATTATTTGACCTTTGAATGTTAAAAGTAGTAATTTGTTCTCGGTTTGTGTAGTTATATAATGTTAATCTTGATAAGCCGGTTGATGTTGTATGTACATATATCTGAACGTATGATCCATAGTGCCTAATCGCGAACTTCTGCAGGGAGTTTTTTAGTTTCGAGTTGTGTCGTTATTGCAGAGGATCATCCACATTTACATTTATACCTAACAAACAAAAAAAAATGTCAGAGGTTCAATAAGTAAAACAAAAAAAAAAACTAAAAAATCATAAGTCGTAGGTAAAACTACAGCCACAACTGAAAGCGGACTTTGATTTATTCGCTTTTTGTTTCCCGACGATAAAATCAACTTTATTTGATAGCAATGCTAGTGAAATAAAAAAAAAAACGTTATCAGCGTTTACTAATAAAATAGTTTCCAGTTAAAGATGAATCTCATTTAAAACAAGTAGAAATCTAGAACATGTAGCGAATGTGTGCATAGTGCTTAGGGACACAGATTATGATCTTTAAAAATAAGGTAGGTAGACAATTTAATTTTAAATTATTTACCTATTTTGGCCTATGCTAGACATTTTCGATAGATATTGTATAAAGCAGTAACTTTTCCGATCAGAATAATTGATTTTCAATCCATTTCTCACATATTAGAGAATCAGGCTGGAGCAATCGTTTCGCCATTGCACGACATTCCACTATATGCCGATGAAAAGAAGACTGTCCTAAATATGGTGGTTGAAATCCCACGTTGGACAAACGCTAAGATGGAGGTAATTAATGGATGGAGGATTAATTGATACTATTGTATGTCTAATTACTTTTTGTAAGCAGTTATGTTTATTATTGTCAGCTATAAATTAATTCGTGCATTGCATGTATCGTCTTTTGCAATTAATTATAGATTAGCACAAACACACCATTGAATCCTATTAAGCAGGACGTTAAAAAGGGCAAACTGCGTTTTGTAGCTAATTGCTTCCCACATAAAGGTTACATTTGGAACTATGGCGCATTCCCACAAACTTGGGAAAATCCCGGACATATCGAACCATCCACTGGTTGCAAAGGTGATAACGATCCAATTGATGTATTGGAAATCGGTTATCGTGTTGCTAAACGTGGTGAAGTGATTCAGGTTAAGGTACTAGGCACAGTTGCTCTAATCGATGAAGGCGAAACAGATTGGAAAATAATTACTATTGATGTCAACGATCCTTTGGCAGAAAAGATGAATGACATTGGTGATGTCGACAAATATTTTCCAGGCTTATTGCGTGCTACTGTGGAATGGTTCAAGGTAGGCGATCGTAATATTTATGCACAAATATTTGCTCGCTCATTCTATTTATTTCCATGTAGATCTATAAGATTCCTGATGGTAAACCCGAAAACAAATTCGCTTTCAATGGGGATGCCAAATGCGCTGCTTTTGCTAATAATATTATAGAGGAAACAAACAAATTCTGGAAGGGTTTGATTACTAAGGAGTTGGAAGGTGGTGAAATTTCTATGTAAGTCATCTATATATTTGCATTTCATTCTTATTGCAAGAAAAATCCATATTATTGAATTGCACATATTTTTAATTGATAGCACTAACACCACAAACGCAGACACACCTGGTTTCATTAAAAACGAAGAAGCTGAGCAAATTTTGGCTTCTGCGGCAGATGGGGGTGAACCAGAAGAGCTGTCAGATACAGGTAAGATTGCTTATATCAAATCACATTTGTAAACTATGAGCAAATCTATCTGGGCCTAACTAGTTCCTATTGCACTACTGTAAAAATTAATTGAGCTTACCATCTCTATTGCGCAACTATTACTGTAAATATTTCCACTGACTTTGTTTTTGTTGTAAATTTTTAACTAAAGTTTGGTCTTCTGTTTATTAGTTTTTGAAAATGTTATTTTCTTGATTCGTTTGCAATCATATTTGTCGTGTATATCGATGTGTAGAAACATTTACCCTAAAAAATCACAACTGTACATAAGTAAAGCGCTTACGAAAACGTTTATCAAACTATTAAAAATGAGCCAAAATACGTAAAAAGTCCTATGATAATAAACATTCATCATCATTCATCATTAAGTTGCACGATCGTTTAAGGTAAGGTTTAACCTCTTATACCCCCTTTGTGTTCTCCGCTATTGAATTCTATAAACTAAATTTTCACACAGGTGGGCATCAGCTTGCCCGCGGACAAAGCTCTTTCAAGTTTTCTATACTACTGAGGGCCGGTTTCTCAATGTCTGGTGATCACTTCCTCCCAGCTAAACATTCAGCTTCTTTGCGTAAATCGTAAATTAGGCTAAATTGTACGACTCGAAAACATTGGCATTGTCTACTGTCGTTTAGGTTTAACCCCTTAGGGCCGGTTGTTTAATGTCCGGTTAACACAAATCGGAGGTATAAGCACCGGTTAAATACAAACACTCACATGTTATATGCATGTTATTGAAAACGTCGATAATTGTGTTTAACTGGGAGGTGACGATAATGAAACATTGAACAACCGGCCCTTAATCCCCTTTATGTTCGCCGCTACTGAATTCAATTAACTGCCAGTTTTAACACAGGTTGGCATCAACTTGCCTGCGGATAAAGCTCTTTCAAGCTTTCTATACTAAGGGCCGTTTTCACCATCTCTGGTTAACACTAATCCCCAGTTAAACATCGTTACCTACATCACTGGCTCCATGCATATAACACTGTGTTGGTAACGGCGGCAATGGTGTTTAACTAGGGATTAGTCTTTGTATACAAAGCTTGAAGGAGCTTTGCCCGCGAGAAGGCCGGTGCCCACCACCGATTTAGGGCCGGTTGTTCAATGTCTGGTTATCACTACTTGCCGGTTAAACATCATTATCGACGATTTCGCCAGCATGCATATAACATGTGATCGATAAAGCAGTCGTTGTATCTAACCGGAGCTTCTACCTCCGATTTGTGCTAATCAGACATTGAACAACCGGCCCTTAATTGTGAAAAGTTTGTTGCTAGGTTAATGTCGCCAACATGTTGCAAGCTTTTTAACAGCGTGAACAGAGTACTATTTGTGGAGGAAACGTTGTGGAAATCACACTTATGTACATATTTCACGAAAAAAAAAATGTTATATACATTTTTACAGTATTTATTTTTGGCTTTAAAAAAAATTTATGTTTTTTCGTTACAGTCGATAGATGGCATTTCGTCCACTTGAAGTAATAACAAAAATCTGTAAGACGGCGTGAAACTTATCATACGCCCTGGTTTTGCCTTTAAATAAAATGGTCTGAACATGAAATATACATATGTACATATTTATGGGAAAATTAAATGCATGAAAAATAATAAACTCAAGGGGATAAAACGAAACTATTTTTCAAAACATACGCTTTTGTTGCATGAACGAAAGACACGAGATCACGCCTTCCCGAAAGAAAGAAAAAAGTTATTTTCTAGCTGTTGAAATCTCGACGCCATCTTTGTTGTAAGAAGTAAACAACGAAGAGAACTCAAAAAAACCGCGTAATTGTTGAACACATGAATAATCATTTTTATTATGCAAATTCTTCTATAAATCATGTCGTTGTGTTAAATTATTCTTTACCTTATGTGTGCACACGTTGTCACAAGCGAAAATTAAGAAAATTGCAGTAAAAAGCCACCACCAAATTGTAAACAACGAACAAATGTAAACAAACGGCTAATGTCAAAGTCGCCCAACTTTTTTCCTAAATGCGATTATAACGGGCTACTAAGAAGAAGGCGTGATCTTGTATTTTTGGTTCATGCTTTTGTTGCATTTACTTTTTTGTAACATCTTCAAAAGATCCAGCTTAAAGCTTAAATTGGCGGTGACATAACTATAACCAAGGCGAATTTATACAAGGTGGTGTAAATTCGCCTTGACCATAACTATAAAACCAAGGCGAATTTATATAAGGTGGTGTTGATGGCGAATTTAGATTTTCGCCGAGGTACGTCTTAATGTCAAAATGATGTGTTTGTTGTAAAATGAATTCGCCTTGTTTACAACAAACACATTTTGACATTCAGTAGTACCGCGGCGAAAATTTAATTCGCCATCAACACCACCTTGTATAAATTCGCCTTGTATAAAACAACTGTTCCAACCACAATATAACCAGTAAACAACCTTCCAAGGCGAATTTATACAAGGTGGTGTTAACAGAACAAAAACAAAAATTACAACAACAAACTATACGCTCCTTGACAATTAGTACAAAGCCAAATTACAACAAACACATGATTTTGACAAAAGGTACAAATTCGCCGTGAAATCAGCGGATCCGATAACACCACCTTGTATAGATTCGCCTTGCAACCTCCGGTGAATTTGGCGACTGCCTTCCTCGGAGACGAATATGCCAGGGATGAGATTATTGGTACACACGCCATCTAAGCACGCAGGGTTGCTTTTGAGAAACAAAAAATAATTAATGCAGCGTTTTTGCTGCATTTAAAATGCAACATTTAGCACTTTCGAACATATGTTTTCGAAGAGCGTTCATGCTATAGCATTTAGCAAATGTACATTTACGCGAGTTTGAAATCGCATGCTTTTGACAAACAGCCGTGTTCCAGTCTCTTATTTAGATGCGTATATATTACGATCAATTCTCACGCAGAAGATAATGTGTAAAAACCCCACTGAAAAGGAAAAAATAAATTTTAAACCAAAAATTCAATACAAAAACTTGAATTGTTTTAACCATAACCGAACATTTGTTTGTGTATATATTTATTTGTCGGTGCATTCAATTAAAATTTCCTCACTTAATTAGGAAACAAACCAAACAGAGTTGATCACAAATTGATCCAGATTTCTATCAGTATCAAATCGATGTTGAATTTGCTTAACTTTTCTTTATCCAAATATGTAATGCAAAATAAAAGAAATCTCGATCGGCGATCACTGAAACGCAGCTGGCAACTGTATACTCGAAAAAGCAATGTTGCCACTTTTTCTCTTTAAACCATGTTCGAATCGTGGAAATTTTGGAAGATCACAGGGTTGCTTTTAGCATTTAGATTCTTAATGCAAAAATGTAGTTGCATTTAGTTGCATTTAGGTGACGAATTTTGTATGGATAAATGTACATTTAGAGTAGCATTTAGAGCTAAATGCGCTAAATGTGCTTTTAGGCGTAAGCAAAAACAGCCTATAACACAACGACATGATTTATAGAAGAATTTGCATAATAAAAATGATTATTCATGGGTTCAACAATTACGCGGTTTTTTTTTGTTCTCTTCGTTGTTTACTTCTTCCAACAAAGATGGCGTCGAGATTTCAACAGCTAGAAAATAACTTTTTTCTTTCTTTCGGGAAGGCGTGATCTTGTGTCTTTCGTTCATGAGGTGCCAACGTCGGTTGGGTCATGCGACTACGGGTTAAAAATGCCAATTTTCTAACACTAGATGCCGCGTATGTCGATGGGGTTGGCAGCACTGTCTCTTGGATTCCATAGCGGGCGTCTGTTAACGGATTTGAAAATTGTGTGCGTTTTGTGTCATTGATGGCAGATGTTCGTGTGAATTTGCTGAAAGTTTTGTTTTGTAGAGTAGTTGAAATAATTGTGAAATATTGAGAGAAATAATTGAAAGATTGGGAATAATTGCATTTTAAAGTGCTATTTAATCTAAGACAGTTTGCAGGACAAAGAACGAAATGGAAGAGTTATTGAAAATAGTTGAGGCTAGTGAAGAATATTGCGATGAGCTACATCAGCTGAAAGAGGTAGCGCCGCAGCATTTACATTTTAATAAAATTATGTATACTAGTTTTTATTTGCGGTCTAATTTAAGAAATTCATGCAAGACTTGCGAGCAAAGCTTAGTGGACAGAAGTTGCCGGTTACCGAATCGAGCAACTTGGGTCAGCTGCCTACCGTGACACCGCAACAAACAAAGAAGCGCATAAAGCGGTTATCCGACTTAAATGAAAGTGATAGTAAGTTTAAAATTGTTTGTATTGGATAAGGTTTCATGTACTTAAGTTTCAAATTCTTCAAGCAGCCGAATCTATTCCTGAAAAAATTTCGCCCTCTCGCAATTCGGCACGTACAAGTAATTCTAAACTTCTGGCCACGGCTGTTGCCATGGAAGCGGAAATTGATGACGATGCCATTCCTCAAACTCCACAAATTAATCCCACAGCAGCCCCAAGTAGCGCCAAAGTTCCGCATACGGAACCAACTGAGGTTCAATTAATGCCTCCACCGCCGGCGCCTCTTGCGCCTGCGCCGAGTGATATATTGCAAACAAGTTGCATTGAAACTTCATTTGTAAGGCCACAACGTGCTGCCAAATTAAAATCAGAGAAGAACTTAAAGGAACCGAAACTTAACAATAAATTACGTCGTCCGAGCAGTTGCGATACCCCTAGGGTAAAATTAGAGCATGAAGAACGTCCTTCACAAATGCACGAAGTTGCTGATGACGCATCAGCAACTAACAGGGATAGCACCAAGTCTACTGCGAGCGTCAGATCTGAGGATTCGGTGGTAGCCATACCGACTAAAGCTCCATCTGTGGTGGAAATAAATTCAGAAGATGAGCAAACAAACGAAAAAGGGTCAGAGCGTGAGTAACCTAAACGTAGGGTCTTATTATGACTTTTAGACTAACTAATATTTAATATAGGCAATTCTGTAGAGGATGGTAAAGTGCGGAGCCTGCGGATCAAGATTAAACGGGAGAAGAGCAGCCTGGGTAATACAGAAAAAAATGCGGATTCTTCTCCCCCATCGTCCACTATAGAGTCATCCGTTAGTACTCAGCTAATTGTACCTCTGCCAAAGGTAAAGTTAAATTTTGTAAAAAATTTTTATTATATCAACATGGAATGTCTTAGGTTGCCGTAAAATCTGAAACCGGAAGTGACGATTCGACAATTGCATCCACTACCATCTCTGCAAATACAACTTCAACTGCAGGCAATACCAGGCGTCGTAAGAAGAAAGATGCACTGCCTAAACCTATAAAAGTCGAACGGTTTAGCGATATTGAGGATAATACTCGTACCCGCAAGGGGCGCAAGCAAAACCGTGGTTCTGGCGGTTCTGTTTATGAGGATGCCGTTGACCATCCACTCACAACAGGGGAAGCTACAAATACGCCACCAACTCGAGTATCACCGGTTCCATCCCACATTGCCGCTGCTGCAGGCATGAATGAGACAGTAAATAATCGTACACAACCTGATAAAACCGGGGTGGTAGGCAGTGATGCTACTTTCTGTGCAAATGCGGCACAAACTACTTTCCAAGTGGATCCTGCTCAGACCACTTTTGTTGTGGACAATCAAAATGCAAACGTGACAGTTACATTGAACAAAAAGTCTGGTGGAAATGGCGCACCGGTAGGCGACACCACGTACAATTTGCCTACTAGCGGAGCGAACAACTCAACTGCTTCTTCCCATCATTCTATGGAGACTGCAAAAGACACTACAAATCCACAGCCAGATAGTCTATTAACAGAAGATGAGTCGTTTGAACCAGAAAAACCGAAGAGTAAGTTAGCAACTTTGCCAAAACCTGGGCCAGCTTCGACTAAATCCAAAATGTTCAAAATGCCAACGCGAACAAATGAGTTATTCAAGTAAGTTCAGATGAATACTGCAGAATTGTTGATTTTCGGTTTAATTAAATTGTATATTTTTTTTTAGCCCACTTGTCCAAAGCCCGGTAAAGAAAAAGGTGGAAGCTTTTGAAAATGCGGCAATTGCTGCTCATAATACGGAGGTCACTAGTACGGGTCGTCCAAAGCGTACTAAAGAAAACGCCGCTCCGGTAAAAAAAGCGAAGAAATTTATAAGTTAATATATCTTTGTAACCTTTGTTCTTTCCAATTTTCATTTTAGTCAAATTTAGTTACACCCATAATTGGAAAGATTGCTTCAGCGCCAGCGCTTGGTCGTTTCCTAACACCAACGCAATCTTCAAATTTAACAGGATCTTTGCTAAAGGTTAAGAAAGTGCCAAGCAGTGCATCCAAGGCTCAGGCGCATCCAAAAGCTATAGCTAGCGTCAAAGCTGTTTCTGGTACGACTGCCAGTAGAGCATTGTCCCGTGAAAATAGCGCGGAAGATTTCCGCAAAGGTTTGCATAACCTGGCTGAAGAGCGCAAGAAACAACGCGAACAGAAGCATCTGATAGCAGCACAGCAACGCGAGGCTAAAGAACGTGAGCGTGCTGAACGTGCTGCCAAATTAGTTAAGGAACGTGAGGAGAAGCGGCTCAAGAAGCAACAAGAGGCTGAACAAAAGAAACAAGCACTCGAGGATATTCAGCGTGTTTTGCGCCAGCAAGAGGAAGCTGCCAAATTGAAGGCAGCCAAAGCAAAGG